ATGTACTGCTGAAGAGTCCCAAACTGAGATGAAACAGCTGTCCAGTACTTCCAGGTTTTCCAATGGTTCTCTAACTAATGTCATCTCATGATGAAATTCTGTAACCAATCAAATCCCTACAAACCAACACCTGAACATTTTAACATCGCATGTCAAGTCATTGATGCACTACTGAAATCATCTAAATGCCAGTCATGAATATCAATTTTTATTTTTTTTAAATATTTTTGACTGAGTTGACTAAAAACCCATAAATTTCTGTAATAACTGCGGGAAGTTCATCTTTTAAGCAATTACTAATGAGCGTCGACTTTTTATTCTATCATATATGAATAATAAGACAAAAAGATATCAAATATAAGTTGTACTAGCACAGAATTTAATGTATGTAAATGACTATTCAATTGCCTAGTGATGATAGTTGACGTGTATTCGTGGAACTCATTAGAATCTCAAAGGTGCTCAGAAAGATTAGACAAAAGTAGCGATTACTAATGTCCTTTTTGTTTCATTATTGACGATAAAATATTCATATTCGTAAGCAGACTTAAACTCGTTACCACAGTCAGTTGACTGGTGGTGACTAGCAGTGGAATCCAGGATAACGTGCTTTTCGTCCTGTTTGGGAGTCGTCATCTGGATGTACCTACATTCAACCAGTGAGTGACTGCGTTACCACCGAGGCTCGAACCCAGTGCCTATAGTTTCAAACGCCAAAGCGTTATACACTAGACCACTTGGGCTACGAGAGCCACCTCTTGTGCAAAGGGTCTTATTAATTATTTAATTCAATTTAGATTTTCCAATCGATTGATTGTACTGAAATACTCAGTCACCACTCACTGGTGAATGAAGGTACATCCAGCTAGTGAGTCCCAAATAGGATGAAATGCTCATCCTGGATTCTACTGCTAGTCACTTTTAACCATCTGACTTCAAGTTACATAACTAGACATCGGCGAAGCATCTGCACAAGGAGTCGACATGTCAACTTGTGACCGAGTACTTCAGTCTAATTAATCGACGGGAATGTCTAAACTGAACTAAATGATTACCACATTGCCAAAATTCTATTCTTATATCAGTCTCACTTCAGCTATAAATGATCATATAATTCAATACAGTGGTAAGCAATTAAGCAATCTATATAAGTGCATTAATATATAAAGCTAGGTAAATGATGTGTTCTTGAAAGGCAATAATAAGCATTCTATGTCAAACAAATTTAAATCTTAAATAGAAGGCTGCATGACTAATAAAGTTGTATTGGAACAACAAAAGAAGACTTATCACTGATAAAGTAAGTAATACTTTTAAGTGACTTAATTAGAAAAGGCAAAAAGAAGGTAAAGAACTCATTTATTTTAGGACTGGTTTTGATTTTAATGAAAAGAACGAAACGATTAGTTCAGTAAAGAGTCTCTTCTCAGTGAATTTACTGTCTTCAGCTGCATAATCGTATTTAAACACAATTCTTCGTGAAAGAGGGTAGTAACTAGGATGATGAGATGTAATGATAGTTGTTAATATTAGTTAATGCATTAAAGGAGTTGAATGAGTGCACTGAAGTTACGAAACAAGATGAATTTATTTAATGATTGAGTTGTAATCAGGATGTATATACAAATGAAAGAAAATATGGAATTATTGAAGAATTTTAGAGAAATACAATAGTTATAAGGAATTTGAAAAACGAACAGACAAGGATCAAGTCAGTAGAAATCGACACAGTTGTTATCATGATAGTAGAAGTTGTTGAATAATTTTCTTTTGTATGCTGAGCTCCAGGTTTTCTATCCGAATGGTCAGACCTTCATTAGTATAAAGGATATGAAAGCGTTTTGTCTTTGGCAGGCTGCTCTTCACCTTGTAGATTACTTAGAAGGATGGATTTGTTGAGGTATATTGACCAATGTTAAAAATATGTTTAGTTGTCACACTGGTTATTGAGCTACTGCTACTTTTCTGCTACCATGCGGGATAGTTTTCTTGGATTGTTTTAGACAGGATGCGTGTCTAACAGTCAATATACACGGCAGCACATGAATAAGTGAACAGATGTATGCAAATCGAAGTGGTCATATGTAAGGTCATGTCCTGAAGGCTTCTGCAGATCAGTTGATTTCTAGAATAGTTCTACAAACTTGCTAACTGCCTTCAATCATCCAACATCCATAAAACAATCAATACCCTACAGCTATTCTATATTGTTATCAGAATTGTACAGCTTTTAATATTACTAAGTCAAGAAAATAGAGGAATGCTGAATGCTAACACTTTCTTTGTAAATCATTTCAATACAGTGTTATTTTCAGGTTCCACTTCTATTTTAAATTTCTATCAGTAGGTTCATTTTGCTAATCGGTTGTAGCATTCCTCTACAAGGTTTGGTAAATCTTAGGAAATTTATTGCAGGGAATGTTGTCTTATCTAGTGCTTTGATAAAGTAACACCGGTGACAAGTGATTTCACTTAGTAACCAGACTAAAGAATTTACTGAGAGAATTCAGTTAACACAGGAATGAGGTTTAGATGCATAACACAAACATAACAACTCACTGACCAAACAATGTTTGTTCACACTGATTATGCTAAAGGAATTTTTTTGTTACATAAATACCTTCGTTGAACAGATTGTCTTTTTTGAATCAGTTCATCGACATGATTTTATAATTCCACATAGATGAGATATCTTCATCTGAGAAGTGTCATATTTTGTAGTTTTGCTAAATTAGAAGACAGTGACTTCTTTTCGAGTAAGTGGAACAGAGGATCCAGAATTTTTACTCAAAAAAGAAGCGTAAACGCAAACCTAGTGAGTAATCAAGATCAGAAGAAATGAGGGCCGTGCAGCCTTTATTCGAACACCAAGAAATTTTGGCAGTTACAAAGAACGTCTCATATCAGAAGCACTCAGGGTTAAATGGAATCCAAATTGTCTGAATAGGAATGATCGATTAAGACAGAATTTGACTTAGCTCTAGCACTCCTCCCCTCAATGAAGTGAAAAAATCAACACAAATGAGATAAGTATTTTCAGAATCTCTGAGTATATGCTGTTTTAGTGTTTCATAAACTTATGAAATCCAACATTATACCCGTGTTTTGTTATCTTTATCAGTCCATTCATTCAACAACGTAAAAATTACCTCACACTGAAGAGCAGTGATTAAGGTAATGTATATATACTGAAGTTTTGTAAACTTTGGTTGAAAATAACCCTGATAAAGCTATCTGCTTGGACACTAGTAACCAGCGTGACTTGTCTAGTCCTTTCTTTGGTGCAGACTGAATTCTATCAGTCAGGTTTGCAATGTGGCCACCATACTAAGTAGCCCGCCATCACGGTACACATTGATTTTGATGATATTAGATAGTGCCAACTAGCACGAGACCTAGGTCCAAGGCTTCCTGCCGATTGTCTCCAATAATCTAATATCATCAAAATCAGTGTGCACCGTGATGGCGAGCTACCTAGAATGGTGGCCACATTGCAAACCTGAATGATTGAATTCAGTGTGCACCAAAAAGAGGACTAGACACATCACGCTAGTTGCTTACTAGTGTCCAATCAAAATACCCACTGCAATGCTACAGAAAGTCAATCGTGATCCCGAATAGCTCAGTGGTAACGTCTCTGACTCCAGCACTGGTTGATTCATGTTTGGGTCTTACAAGGAACATTAGTTCCTTCAATATTGAAGATACTCCTTACTGACGAGTGTCACCAACAAACACAAAACTAAACCTAAGGTTTTCTTCCGATCACATCCAACCATCTTACAACAATTCACAGTACAGGGTGATGGCAAGACACCTAGCATGATGGCTACGTCACAAACGTTTCTGACAGAATTCAGCCTGCACCAAAAAGAAAAACACAACTAGACTCAAGGCATTAGTTCCTATCTAGTATGCAGTGTGAGTAATTAAAGCTTCGTAATTTAAACCACTCGGCTTAGAGAACACAGCAGTATTAAAAATGTCCATCTGAGCTACAAATCTTATTTAATTCAGTTTTTACTTCACTGTGGTTCATGACTTGGCTATTGGGTTAGTCCTTGTCTCCCTGCAAACTATTGGACTTAATATGGCGAAGATTTCATCACAATTTATAAGGAAAGGGTTGCAACGACTATTTGATTTTCTGTGAAATTAAATTGTTCCAGATGCGCAGGACACGCTAATCTCATTTACTCAACTAATATAAATATTGGTGACCTTAGTTTTGTTAGGTTTTTGAGTCCAATAGATTGAATCAATGCATACTGAACTATGTCAGTTAATGAGTTACTATATAATTCAACTAGTCTGTGTAGAAATAAATGAAAATGAAGTCATCAGGCATTTTAAATCACTAGAGAATTACTTGTTGCTTCCCCCGTAATCTTTTCATATATATTCGGTTGATCACTGTTAAATGGGAAGAGATGTATTCATGTCTGACTAATGGTCCCTTTTTTCAGTAAGATCATTCGTGTCCTTTGCTCACAATTTCCAATCGTTACATTGTCCCTATAATATATATATATATATATATGTAAACACACATTCACACACCAACATTTTGGCGCGCACATATGCATTCAAGGCAAAATGACATACAGATAAACACATACTTCTCCTAAAACAAACTTATGACATCCATCCAATAGTCTAAGTGATCATTCCCTACGCCTACACTTTACAATGGAATACAATCAACTATTTCTTCTGTTTTTTTGATAAATATTTTGTAGATATGTGTGTATTCCTATATTATGTGATGATTGCAACCTATTGGAAAAGTTTAGAATCGGTCGAATTTTGATATGATCATCATTGAGTAAAGCATACCACCCTTTCTTTTTCAATTAATTAAATATCATTATCATTGTAATTATGTTTAATATAAATGAAATAAATGAATAAATAAATAAACACACGATTTTTGAGATTTGATTGATTATTTGTAGTTTGCAAAAATTGAGGAACAGATAGAGGAAAACGTCAAATAGGACATGAAACAAAAACAGCAACAAGATTCCAGCATGCATACTACCACTGCTACTACTACTGCTCAGGATAACAGTGATAATGATAATAATAATAACAATAATAATAATGATAATAATTCATCCAATGTCAATAAATCTGTTTATTTAATTAACAATAAAGGACAGGAACAGAAGAAGAATAAGCATAAGAAGACAATAATTGCATGTCGACAGAAATCATTAAATATGAATCAACAAATACGAACGAATGAAAAATTCGGTCAAAAATTAGTATTAACCAATCAGAATACACTGGCTAGAATTGAAAATTCCCTTAGTTTAACAATGAATTCACATGAATACGAACATTATTCACGATCATCATCACCACCACCACTACAACCGCCTGCTGTTCCTGTCTCTGTAGACACTGCTGCTATTATTATTCACCAGAGTACTAGTACTAGTTTATATGATAAAAATGATTATGGTATGCGAAAACAAATGAAACATACAAGTAGTAGTGGTAGTAATCGTTCTGGAAAGTTAACTACTATATCTAGTGAACATGAAGGCAAACAGAGATCATATGGATTACGTATGGATATTAATAATAATAACAATATTAATCAAGAATTAATTCAAAGAATTCATACGACAACAATATCATCAGTAACCCCGTCGACAACAGTGACAACAACCACAATGGGAACTAGTCTACCAACTGGTTCAGAAATACCTGAGTCAAAGTATTTAAATCAATCTGAAAATACTGAAAGTGAGTTCAATGCAAATTTGACTATATATATGAAAATCTGGAAAAGTTTATATTATGTGCTTAACAAACAACAGTTATAATTAATGTTAGTGATCAGGGAACAGTCAGTGACGTCTGTTCAGGTTTGCTTTGAAATGATTTGAAAGCCATTAAGTTCATATTGATTCGAATGATTGTCAGCCTCTACATCCTTAAAATATTCACGTTAGAGTTGGAATATTCATACGACATGCCATTCTAGTACAGCTATCAGAATACGGTCTAATTTTTATAACTTGACTAAATATGTGCACTTATTATTATTATTGTTTCCTTTAATTCCTAGAGGAACATAGGGCTTCAGCCACCCATTGCGTTCGGTTCTCTGCTAGAGTCTTTACCTGGCTCCATGTCTGCCTACACGTTTTCATCTCCTCTTCACATGACCTCCTCCAAGTCATCCTTGCACTGACGACCAACTCACCACTTCCCTTTCGGGTTCAACTCGAGCAATGGCTTGTCTAGTGATGTCACTTGATGGTTTCCTAAGAGTATGGCCAGCCAATCCATCTCCATTTCTTCCTGCCTATTTGTTTCACAATCGGTTCCTGCTGTGTTGGTTAGCTCATTGCCAGAGATCTCTGTTGCTGATCTTTTCTGGCCATCTGATCTTGAGCATTGAGCGAAGACAACTGTTAATGAAGGTCTGTAGTTTGTTTGAGATGCTGTTTATGACGCGCAGTGCAAGTCTCTGATCCGTATAGTAGCACTGACTTTTACATTGGAGTTGAAAATCCGGATGTTATTTTTGATGCTGAGTGCTGTTGACCTCCACACAGACTTGAGAGTAGTGAAAGCTTGTCTTACTTTTCCGATCTTTGCTTTGAAATCCTCGTCAGTTCCGTCCGCCTGTAGTTGAGACGATGCTTCCCAGGTAGGTAAAAGAGGTTGTTTCTTTCAGGTTACTCCCATTTATTCTGATCGTTGTCTGTTGTTGTTGTTCTTGCCCAGAATATGTGCACTTAGTAAGCTGAATTTTTTAAAACACCCGATTAATTCCACGATTCACCACTATATGTTATCAGTTACACCGGAGATGTGGTTCACTGCCTTAAGCATTCAGTTTTCAGTCACTGTGTCCCGGATTTGAATTCTAATCCACTGGGCAATTGTGTAGTATCATCAGCCTTCATACACTAAGTGTGGCTCATAGCCTGGAACATGAAAGACTTATCAGTTACAGGATCGAACTAGAATGAAATCATTGTCCAGTGGTTTTGGGTTTTCAATGATTCTCGAACTGAATTCATTCGATGACCAAAGTCTACACTGAGGTATATTTGATGAGCATTTTTTTTTAACTGAAATTAATTGTTAGATAAATTAACTGAAGTACAACTGCTCATCATTTCAACTTATTCTTGTCTTATTTACACTTAAAGTTCTTTTCATATTCATGATATTTAAATGAATAGGTTCAGTAAGTATGGCAGTCATTTTAAGGTAGTATAGAGTTTATTTTTGCAGTCTTTTCTTAAATAAAAATGCTGTGACTGCGTATAATGTAAATTTATGTACTAAAACTAATAAGGTCTTTTACACGGCTAAGAAAACACTACGTTAAACAGTTAATATAGTGACATATTTTATTATGGGGTTAAACTCAGACGTTTCATAGCCATATACATATATATATATATAATGGTTAGGTGAATTGGAGTTTAAATGAAGTAGTATTTATGTTGATATGCTTTGTAAAGCAGAATTCTAAGAGACTGGACTTTATTCATGTCATATCATGCGCAGTTTATAAATTGTCTTCTCACATTTATTCTCCCTTCAGCATGACTTGAAAAATTTAAGTCTTAAGTGGTTGTTTTATTTCAAAGGGATTATAAATATGCTTTTTAATAGGTCATATCTTGAATAGTCGGCGGCAATTCATGCTAACCATCTTAAAATCAGTATTTCTTGAAGAAAGATTCCGCTACGGGCTAACAACAGATTAAGAATCATTGAAATCTGAAGAATACTGGATAGTCATTCCACTTATTAAGCGTCGGTGGCACAGAGGTAGCATGCTCGCCGACCACGCTGGTGGTCCGGGGTTTGATCTCCGGCCGCCAACGCACTCCTTCACCTCACTAAGCCAGTAATAAGACTGGTAAAGAGGGAAGGCTGGGTATGAAGCTAGCAACCCCATCCCGTAAAATTAAACACCACTGCTACCGAAACTTCAACCCTCTAGCTTGAAGCTCTGTGTTTCACTGGGAACCTAAAGGAATAAAAAACTTCACTTATTAGACCTTCGGATTAGAATTAAACCTCCCATGTATTCTAATTTCTTTCAGAGACTGATATGTTATCCCCAAAATGATGAAACATATCTTGGAATCACCTAGTACTTTGTGATTATGCTTTCGAAGGGACTGTTGTATTAGTTGAAAAAACCCCACCTTTTCGGTTTGACAGAATGCCATGGCAAATAAGATTAGTAGTTCTTCTCATGTAGTCAGCGACCACTAAACAGCATTTTTGTCCTAGTTCGCAGCTCTTCGTTGGTGTACACATGCGACTCCTTCACGAATCAAATCCGGTAACTTCATGTTACCAGATGAGACCTTTGGCCGTTCAGCCACTGGGTCTCAATTGAGTGGGTCATAAATTTTAACTTCTGTCAGTTCTCCGTATTGCAACATTGACATCCAATACTATCGGAGAGTACCTGTCATTTCATTCAATTTAGATGATACTACCAGTCGTAACCTTGCATTAGAACTCCACGATGTCTATTGAGTAGTCAGTCACTTATGAGCAGTGGCAGAATTTCCAAGTGCTGGACTGCAGTTATTTGAATTTGAACTAACATTTAACAGTTTAGTAAGGCTATTACTTATTTTATGTATGAATAGAATATCTTATAGGGAAATTCGATAGTTTATTGGGTGAGTTCTTAAACAAGTATTAAGTAGCATGATGATGTAATTCTGAAATTATTTAAACGTTTTGACTAGGACAAAAGCGTCAAACTTCTAAGTTATCACTTTTGACAGTTGACTGAAATGAATTTCATTGAAAAGTTGTTTTAAAAGCACGTTTGTTTCTAAAAAGAAATGAAGATGATAGAAGAATTCAAGAATATAGTTTTCATCTTCAAAAGCTGTCAATGTGACTTTTCTGCATTCCAGTGGGGAATAAATTTCTTGATAAGAGAATGACATACTGTTCGATGGAAAAAAAATAATAATAGAGCACTTTTAATACACTGCAAATATTGTAGAAATTAGCAAATTATAAAATGGATGGTTTGGTGAAGCATAAACGTTTTTATGACAAAGGTATATTGAATGGGGAAATAAGGTAATTGTTATTTGATACACGAAATGAATTACTTGGTGATTATGTAGTTTGATATCATTTGCTACTGTTAATCAATTACGAAGATTCATGTGTCATTGGTAAGTCGTATTACAGCTAACTGAAAATGAAGTCTTGGCTTAAACTCGAAGCTACTCAGCTTCCGAGGGGAATCAAACTACTGTGAACATTTATTTATGATCATATTTGATGCATTAAATCATATTAGCACAACTGTTTTATTCTTAATTAAAATGCTTTCATGTGATGTGGAGCGTATTTAGTGCCAGCATAGCATGTAGCTCATAGGCGGCTAGTTTGAATTCTGTCACACCTTATGGTTTCGTATCTACTTCAGGCAATACATACATATTTTACCACAAAACCTGCTCTCAGTATATACTACATGCTTTATAAAATCATGTTTATGTTGACTGTAATATTGAAAAGATAAAGCTGTACATTTTGTTCGTGTTAAGGTACTTTTTCTGTATCATTCAGGCTTCAATGATTGCCATCAGAATAAAGTGGGGCATACAACTATACCAAGGTTTGAAAAATCCAGCAGAGTCATCGGGACAAAGCAGTTACAGTTGATGATTCGTTTCTATGTATTTGTGGCCAGCTCTAGAGAGAGGGAGAGAGTTAGTTTCATTGTGTGCTTTACCGTAACATTCTGAATAGTGAAGGATACAACAGAAAAACCGTTTTTAAATTAGTTAGGAATAAATCTAATCGATGGTATATTTTGCAAACTCTTTTGCCTGATTTGCTGATATTCATTCGGTAAAGTTTGCGAATCTAACCGATAATACGAAAACTATCTTCAAATAATGCGTCGGTGGTTCAGCGGTAGAATGCTCGCCAACTACGCATATGATCCAGGGTTTGATCCCCGGCAGATGCACTTCTGTACCTTGTTAAGCCAGCAATAAGAATGGTAAAGAGGGAAGGTTGGGCATGAGGCTAGCAACTCCACCTTTTAGGAATAAACATCATTGCTTTTAAAACTTCAAAGCCCTAGCTCGAAACCCTATGTTCCACCAGGAAAGTAAAGGTATAAAATAAGTAAAAAATCTTCGAACAATGTTACAAAATACTTAGTAATTTCCTGTTTATAGATTCATTGCAATGTATTAAAAGTATCGATCCTGTAAAAATACTACCTCAAAGATCTAAAATGCTATAGTATACTACTCCTGAGCTTTGGAACCATGTTGTTATGAAAAGTTTAAATAGCTTCCGTGTTTTGTTTTGAATTTTCACATGAATTAACATCATGAAACAGTTTATTATAGACAAGGTTTCTGTTTTTCCCTCTCTATCCCTCTCTCCAACAATTCACGAACAATTAAGCAGTCAAGAGTTGAGCAGATAAAATAAAAATGGTCCCGAAACTGTTCAAATATTGCCTTCTTTATCCTTCTTTATCTTGCTACAGTCTGACAGAATTTAAAATACGATCACACAATATGAATATTATCATTGTCTCATTCTACCTACCATGATTATCAGACTGTAAATGTGAATGATGTAGAGACAATAAGGTTGTTGTATGTGGAACAGATAGATAGATTTTTGAAAGATAGTGAAATTTTTATGCAAATTTTTATTTCTCAGACAAGAGATAATTTAATAGGACAAAAAAAGAGGAGAGAAAGCGC